GAGGGAGAAGCAGGCTCCCCGCTGAGGAAGGAGCCCGATGCGGGGCTCGATCCCAGGATCCTGGGATCATGACCTGAGCCGAAGGCAGCCGCTTAACCGACTGAGCCACCCAGGCGCCCCTGAACATAATTGTTTTTGATACCCCAGCAGTAAGTCTACTTTTTAAAACCAAGAATGCTCCATTTCTCCCTGTACAACCAGTAATTGTTTTGACTTTTCACCAAATTTACATGTCCAATTACAGAGAAAAGAAATGAAAGACAGTAAAGACATCTCTTACAATGCTTCTTAATACAGATTTTTTTAAATTTCCTTTAATACATTGTGGATTCCATCAAATATAACCATTTAGGATTGTTTTTACTACCTCTACTAGTATAGACAAATTTATAGAAATTATTTTGAATGTACCGTGTCTACTTCAATTAGCATAATTTTATTTAAGCAATTAAGGTTGTCTGTGTTACCAGTGTTGACATTTTCAGGAATTTATGGTATACTTTATGGGATGAGCTTGACAATGAAATCTCACTTTCAGCCCTGTTCTGACTTCACAAGCAGGTGGCCCTGAGCAAGCCAACTTATCAGAACCTTGGGTCCATGTCCATAAAACAAAGACATTACAACCTGTCCTACCTACATCACAGGATTCCTGTATATATGAAAAATTTTTTGGCTACTATAAAGTACTATAAAATGACAATTACAGACGTCAGTGAGGTTAACCACCAAAATAATTTTTCAGCTTCATGCCTATACCCAAAAGCTTTTAAACAAAACAGCTTAAATAAAGTGGTCATTAAACAAATGAAGACTGTATTACCCACACTGTGTTCCTACTCTACTAAGTCTAATCTTTGGAAGAACTTAATTCATTTTAGGGGAAAAAAATCTGAGTTAAGATATTTATTAGTGTATACAAACAAGCGGCAACCACTAATTCAAAAATAGGAGGGTTTTTCCTCAATAAGAGTACATTCTTTAATAGGACTCTATTTGAATAAGAATTCCTTACAAATAGAATATATACTTAAGAAAGCAAGGAAAGATTTTACATTACACAGAACAGACATTCAGTTGGTTCAATCATGGGTGAACTACCCTTCCAACCAAATACTTATTTTTTATATTTATTACAAATACTGCAGTCAGTTCAGTATATGCCAATAATCACACAGTTTTAACATTTAGTAGCATGAAGCACACTTAACTGTTTCCAAAGGGATATGTGATGGAGTCTTCATTTCACAGGGGTAGAAGTGACTGAATTACTGTCTGCTCTTTAACGTTTCAACTAACCTGTGAAGAGAAAATGACAGTTTCATAACATTAACTTCAAACTTTCAGGTATACAGCATGATCATTTATGATAAGTTTTATACGGAAAGTGGATTCCAAAGCACTTTAAATGACGAAGGCTAAGACAGTTACACTGCAGAATGATGTTATGAACCCAAGTTCCATGAAAGCCTTTTAGCTTTCACTTTTGTCTATGCTCTGAATGATCAAAAAGACCAAATATCTTCTTTCCGGGCTGTAACTACTGCAGCATGGCTAGATGTGGATAACTCAGAGGTGAAAACTAGTCTCAGTCCTCATGGAGCTTAAAATCTAATGAGCAGATGCACTAATCAATTACAGGATAGTGTAACTACTATATCACTGGTCTGTGACAAGGACATCCAACTATGTGTGTGGTAAGGCAGTGGGCATGGAGACATGCAAGGGAAGGTTCTTGAGAAGAAGACAGTCTTAACCTAAGTCCTGAAGGATAAGGAATGGAGAATGTGGTGAGGAAGGGAGAAGTTAAAAAAAAGGCAGAAGACTGGGTTATCTAACTATAATCAGGTAGGTGTGATTGAAATAATAGCTGATGTATATGGAAGACCAGTGGAAGAAAAGGCTGGAAGAACTTAATATAAGCTGCTAAGTAATCTGAATTTCATCCTTAAGACTAAGAGAAAATCACACATGTGTGCAAACAGCTGCACACACGAACAAATGCACAAATGACTTCTGGAAATATACTTAACCATTCCATTGCCTCATCAAGGCCAGTGCCTTTGGTTGCTGAAGTTTTGAATATTTGCCATTTTCGGTCCTTCAACACAGGCAACCCAAGTGAATTTGCCATCTCTGAGGGAGTCATGGCCTGTTCCATGTCCTGCTTATTTGCAAACACCACTAAAATGGCTTTTCTCAGTTCTTCTTCCTAAATAAAATAGAAGGTATTTAATTTTCTCTAATGAATTTGCTTCCTTGAGTTTAGAAAGAAATGCCAACAAATACATTATTTTAAGAGTATATTCCCTAATTATGAATCTATAATGTTCATTATAAATCATTTGAAATTATAGAAAAGAAGCTTCGTCCATAATCCTATCTCCCAAACATGATCACTCTTAACATTCTGGGTATTTTCTACTGCTTTGTAATTCAGATACTTATAGTTTATTAATAAATACATTTATACATTTGAGATCACATTTACATACAGTTCTATACCCTGCTCTAAAAAATAAACATTAAATCATGGATATTTTCCCAATCAAAATTTTCAAAAAAAATTTAATGGTTAAATATATCTATACTATGAATGCATACACCATAAACTATATAACTACTGTTCTCCAGTATTAGACTCTTACTAGATTCTTTTTACTTGACTATTACAGAAACTCAAGGGACACAGTCATTACACAGAAATCTTTGTGTGAATCTCTATTTCCTTAATAAATTCTCCAAAAGTAGAATCAAAGTATGAACTTTTTTTGGGTTATTGTTATATATATATTAATAAACCGCTTTCCAGAAAGGTTATAACACTTTAGACCCCATCAACAGTGTATGACAGTACTGTTCTTCAATGCAGCCTTGGAAGAATTAGAAATTACATATTTTTCCAAACACAGCATCTCATTACTTATTTATTATCAGAGTATATTAGAAATGCAAATGTTATCAGCAATACAGTTTTCTCGTGTGCACTGTAAGTTCATGCCTTTTGCTCAGTTTTCTATTTATTTGCAAAGGGTCTTGATATGATTAAGAACACTAATCTTTAGTCACTGGTTGTAAAACTATGTCCTGGTTCCCTGTTTTACGCTAATTTGTATTTGCAGGGTTTTTGTTTGTATTAATATAATTAAATCTATCTTTTCTTTTATAATTCCTTCCAATCCTTTGATTTAGAAAGACCTTCCCTATCCAGAAATGTTAACCATAGTCACTTACATATTCTTGGATTTGTATTTTTTACATTTTCTATTTTTTACATTTCTGTTTTTTACATTTAATTCTTTACTCCAGGAAGAATTTATTTTTGTGTACAAAAATGGGATCACTTACAGTGGTTTTGTCTGTAAGTTTGAATGTAATAGATAACAGACCTGATCATATGCTACATGTACTTTACATTATATATTTATTGACTGGATCAATTAAAAATTACTTCCTAAAGAATGAATACAATTTTTAGTTCTCATACAATTATACAAGTCAAATCCTAATATCAAAAATAACAATCCTGCTAGCACAACTCAAGAACTGTAAACTGAAGCTAATAACGCATTTCTTTTACGCAGTACTTTTTATGATAAAAATCCATACCATTTGAATTACATCTAACTAAAGGTTTTATTTTAAAAAACCCATTACACTGATGGGTTAAACAGTACCTTAAAATTCCTTATACTTAAATTTGGTCTAAGAAGCTCTTATGATAAATATGATGCTATGCTGTGAAAAAAATTAAGCAAAAGTTTAAAACAATTAGGTCTGCAATTTGTAACTCAGAAGCCATTAAGTCAGTAGTCAAGAAATCAGAAGTTCAAAGTATTCCAAAAATGTTTCTACCTAGGTAATCAAATGGCCTAGAAAACTTGTATTTAAGCATTCAGTGATTGGCTAATTCAGAATCATAGTTCTCATAGGAAAAGGGAACGTACTCTTCTGATTTTCTCAAGCAAAGGTAATTTCATTATTAAATTAACCATAAGTACATTCGAAAAGCTTATTTAACAACTGGAGATTTTTTAAACTTTTGATTAATGCATCCTCTGAATTTAGTTAGCCAATAAATTATCTTCAGTGACTACAATGTTTTAAGTTGTTGTACACTGTTCCACACATCAGGAATATTAGGGTAAATTCAACTTACATTTTAGGGTGGGAGACATATATAAGCAAACAAATATATTTTAAAATAACAAAGAAACAGTAAGTGGTACAAAAAATAAGGTAGAATAAGGTGTTAGAAAATAACTGAGGCTGCTCTCTGAGGCAGAAACGGGAGATAAAACATGCCAAGAAGGTAGCCATGCAAAGATCTGGAGGAAGAGCATTACAAGCAGAAAGATGAGGAGGTGCAAAAAGCCCTAAGCCAAGTGATCAGTGTACAAGCTTAGTGTATCCAAAGAACAGAAAGGTCAGTATGGCTAAAGGACTGTAAACACAGGGAAGAATAAAGAATGAAAAACCTGGAAGAGATAAATAAACAAGGGCCAGAGGTGTGCCAGAAACCCAGAAATTCTAAAACAAACAAATAGGCTTTCTTATTATTTATACCCTCATCTGCTTCCATAAACTAACTTATACAACTAGAAATAGATTTTATAAAAAAGCACTTCACAGGAGTAACTTAAAATAGTTTTCAGTTTAGAAAGAGTTCAGCTCTGAGCTTCCTAGAAATCAAGAAATCTAGTTTAAAGGAAGTTACATGGCTGGATTTGATTTTTTTTTTTTTTTTTTGGTCTTTTTGTCTCCTTCTTCTTCCCAACAGAATTTCTGGAAGAGGAAATAATTTGTATAAAAGAAAATTATACTAACGACAAGGGGGGGAAAAATCCCTGCTTTCCTTTTAATTATTCCTACATGTGGTAACAATGAAAACTAGCAAGCAAACGTAAAAGATTTCCCCACATTCGAATAAAGTTTTCTCACCTCCAACATGGCAACTAACTCTGATTTGGAAATGCCGATTCGGTCTCGGTCACAACTGTCTACTACATAAATGACTGCATCTGTGTTTGAATAGTAACATCTCCAGTATGGCCTAAAGAAAATTCAGAAAGGGAGAATATATTATTATTTGAAAGAAAAACAACCTGCTATGTTAATTTATATGCTAGGACTTGGCAATGATGGGGAGTGGGGGGTTTACATGCCAATCTTGCCACCCCCCCATGTTAGAATCAATGCCATGATTCATTGTTTCTGATGGTATGTATCATATCCTTCAGATGTGATGGGGGTGGAATGATAAACATTAAATCACAGGATCAAGAAGTTTCAAAATGAGTTCAGACTTTAGGCTAAGAAAGTACTTTATAATCAATCTATAAAATCACTAACTGTACTGAGATAAAGTTATACACGGACCTTACTATTAACATCTAATAAATCTCTAACTCTAAATCTCCTTAAGGAATGGGTTCTTAAAAAACTTTTAATATGATTTTATATAGCAGACATTAAATTGACTACAGAAGACTTCATGAAGTAGAAATGGCTAAAATTAAAGAGGGACTCAAAAGCAGTTCAAAAAATAAAACAAGTTAAAAGGCAGCAGGATGTTTGGAAGAATGTACTACTTATGTTTTAAGTAGGTACCATAGTGAGCAACACTGACAGTCACCAAACATCCACAGTTGCCATGCCAAGCACAGAATGCTGGGCAGGAGACCTAAGTTCTAGAGGGCATCTATGTTCACATTAGCCCTAAATGGTGGATTGAAAGTTATTTTTATAAATCCAAAACAGTCTGTTTCACAAAGTGGCAAGAACTAAATGGAAGACCCTTTTCAGTTAAAAACTACTGAAGTAGATCTTGAGATTTTCATGAAAAAATTTGTCATTAAGGTGATATCTGAAGAACTGGCTTCCTTAAATTTTATTTTAGTTCAACTGAGCAAATAAGCAGTTTTACCTCATTTTAAATTAAGTGGCTTCCATTTAAATTACAAAAGAAAACATACTTGGTTTATTGCTCTTAACCTTAAAAGGGCCAATAAATGTTCAATACTACAAAGTAATCTGGTCTCTGTACCATACCTGATACTTGTCTGTCCTCCTAAATCCCAGACTTGGAATTTAAGGTTCTTGTATGTTACCGTCTCAACATTAAATCCAATAGCTAGAAGAGAAATCAAAATCAGTAGTATATGTAGACTAATGCGTTCTACCTTCAAAGTATGCAATCCAATTTTAGCAATTAATAAAATTACTACTGAATCACATTATTGGTTAAAATATTATTCCATTTACGACAAAACAGTTGCTTTGCTATACACACACACCATCCATTAGCAAGTTCAGCACCACTTTCAGGTTATATAAGAATCCCCAATTACCTCTGCAAATACAGAATTTTTAGCTCAATAGAAATCCTACTATGTTAAACTCCCTGTATAATACAATCCTGGCATACTAGTGTTTAGAAGGTTATGTTTAGAAAGAACAGCCGTAGATATATTACCAAAAATGGAATTTTGATAGGCAGCAAGTAAACAGGGAACAAAACCAAGATAGCCCAAATTCTAAACTTTAGTGGGTAAGGATTCAGTAACAGCTATATACCACTTTATGGAAACTGGGTTCTCTAAGTGTGGCAACCTCACAGACCCTCTGCAGACTTCCTCAAGAGCTCATTTGTAATAAGGTCATGGCTGGATGATCAAAGGGGAGATGTCCCATCTCTTTTCCCTGACATTCTTTTTAGGTGGAGCTCTAGCATCACACAGCTGAGGCAGGATACTATTTTCACTGAAAAGAATCTAAGGAAGGATACAGAGAATGCTGAAAAAACTGACTACTAAGATTTTAGAAGCTTAAAAAAAAGTAAAAAATGACATAGCTATAACTGGACAATTAATTTTTGTTTTAAATTTAAGTCTATATTGGTAAATGATGCTAATGAGTATATGGTAAGCATTCCCTATCACAACTAAAAAATAGCTATAATAAACCTGAGTGAAAAACTAAAAAGCAAGTTCATGATGTCTCCCTTAGAATTAAGTAGGAGTGTAATCACCATCTTACCTCGATTACAAACTCTGTTTATATGCACAGGACAAGAGTATGCTGTAAAGTGTATTCACTGAAATGCAGTCCACTGGGCTATGTGCACTGCAGGGGCCAAGACTTAACCATAATAAAGATGGGTGATTTTGAGAAGCAAAAACCAAGGGAACTGAAATTTTTTGAAGGTGGCACAAAGAAATAACAGAAGCCACAGGGTTTAAAAAGTTCTTCTCTCATAAAACCTAGACTTTTTTTTTTAATCTGGAAATTTAAATACTACTAAATATAGAAATACCTTGCATGACAGAGTGATTTTAGAGGCATAATTTAATACTCTTGAGCCAACGCTACAAACTCTTAAACTTAGTTTAAATATATTAATCTTCTCTAAGTAAATTCACGTCAACAAATTTAAAAAGTAGAACAGTATTCTCATGTAGTCAAACAGGACTGTTTAAGAATATCCTTCTAAAATATCAACAACTTATTTAAAGTTGAGGTATTTCTTCTCTTGATACTTTTAGGTACCAGATTAATTCAAGAGTCAGTCTCTTCCCCTCAGTTCTTTACAAGCAATCAATAGAATTACTTAAGAGAAACAAATCTTAATTAAAATAGTAACAAATACAGGGGGAAAAAGCACATCAGATGCAATAATACCACTTAACACCTATATAATTCTTTAAAAAGGTTTACAAAGTATTTTATGTACTTCATGTATTTCCCCCTTAAAGTCAGTGGGTATTATCTTCATTTTATCAATAAAGATACTGGCTCTCAATGAGATTAAGTGGCTTAACTCTAGCCAACTTTAAAAATAGCAAAACCCAGCTATGCACAGGGGTTTACAAATTGCCTCTAAATGTATAAAAAATGTTATCAATATTATGTCCACACTAGAAGTTTACAAACCTTACTATATTAAAATTACATTATATGAATTACTTAATCAGAAATAAAGTTACATTAGATGGAAAACAAAAACCCCTACAATTAGTTTATCATACCAACACTTACTAGGAATAGTAGTAACGACTTCTCCAACCTGTAATCTGTATAAAATTGTAGTTTTTCCTGCTCCATCTAATCCCAAAATTAAAATCCTCATTTCCCGAGTTCCAAACAGACTGGAAAAAATACTTGAGAAAAAGCCACCTGAAAAAATAATAAAAGAAAAAAATTCATTCAATATCATTTTGTGAACTAAGTCCACAAAACATTTAATCTTGCCTTTTGAAAGCTATACCAAATTAAATATTACTGTAATATTCTCAATTCTTAGGTGCGTAACTTTGCTCCCAATGATACATATTAACCAACATCAAACAAGTAATTACTGATTGTCACCATGTCCTAGATACTGTGTCAGGAAGGCACAAGAAGATATATTCCAGAATAAGAGAAACAAGAACCACTGTCCTCATGGAGCTCACTTTTTTTTTTAAGATTTTATTTCTTTGAGAGAAAAAGAGCGAGAGCACAAGCAGGGGAGCAGCAGAGGGAGAGGGAAAGGAGCCTGATGCAGAGCGATGCAGGGCTTGATCCCAGGAACCTTAGATCATAACCTGAGCCAAAGGCAGCTGCTTAACCTCCTGAGCCACTCAGGCACGCCCTGGAGCTCACTTTCTAATCATGAGAATATAGATACCTTAGCATGATCTCACAACCCCTAAACACCAAGGGACAAATCAGAATGACAGTGGGACAATGAGGTTCTCACATGTGAAAAGCAATTATTATCACTGACAAGAGCACCATCATAACTACCTTCAATCACTGAGATTTCTCTGTAAGCAATATAACTTGCAAAATAAATTGAGACACAGAAGCCCAAAATAACAAAATCTATTTTTGAAAGAAAACTCATTTAAAAAAATAATAAAGCTACATTCACTGTACCATGAAATATTTCCAGAAAGTTTCTTGTACATAAGGTAATGTGTAATATAAAAGCACTTGTGAACAGAGTGGTGATTATCAGAATCACCACTGGTGACTGAATGATAGAATGGTGGTTATCAGATGCTTGGGGAGTGGAAGAAATGGGAGAGAGGTCAGTCAAGGGTACTAACTTTCCTTATAAAATGAGTAAGTTCTGGAGACCCAGTGAACAGCATGGTAACTACAGCAAACCAATGTATTGTACACTTGAAATTTGCTAAGAGAGTAGATCTGAAAGTGTTCTTACCAAACACACAAAAAAGCTAATGTAAAGTGACAGAGGTATTATGGGGTCTTTGGTTTTGGGTGACAGAGGTATTAATTAGCTTGATTGTGGTAATCATTTCACAATGTATATCAAAACATCACATTGTACCCCTTAAATATATGCAGTTTTGTCATTCATACCTCAAGAAACCTGGAAAAAATTAAAAAATTATCCTTTGTCTCAGCAGGGCCTCCTGGTTTAACAGATTAAGGCGGTGATTCATTTGGATTGCATTTAAATAAGAAATCCCTAAGAGTAGGGGAGGTGGTGATTTAGTCTTTATTACTCTTTACAACAAAAGAAAGGGTTTTTTGTTTTAAGAGAGAGAGCGCACAGCGAAAGCATGGTGGGAGACAGAGGGAGAGGGAGAGAGAATTCCAAGCAGGCTCCACACCCAGCACAGAGCCAACACAGGGCTGGATCTCTCCACCCTGAGATCATGACCTGAGCCGAAATCAAGAGCGGGAGGCTCAACCAACTGAGCCACCCAGGCACCACAGAAGCTTTTTTAAAATACATTTTTTCTTTAATGATTACCAGAAAAAAAACACTTTGGCCCTTCCCCACCAAAAGCCATTAGAGAAGGTTAAAAGAAAGTTACATTAACAATAAAAAAAAAAACAAAAAAACAGTTGACAACTGAAGTGATGTCACATGCAATACATGGTTATCTGACAAAGAAATGGCACAATTAAGAGCCACAAATTTGGAAAAACGAAGACACCATGGGCCAGAGAACCTTGGGAAAGTGTAACAGAAGGTGTGTAACTTGACAAAATCCTTTCTACCTTTTACACCTTAAAAACAACAACAACAACAACAAACTGGGGCACCTGGCTAGCTCAGTCTGTAGAGGATGCTACTCTTAATCTCGCAGCTGTAAATCTGAGCCCCACCTTGAGTGTAGAGATTACTTAAAAATAAAATCTTTAGGGGCGCCTGGGTGGCTCAGATGGTTAAGCGTCTGCCTTCAGCTCAGGTCATGATCCCAGAGTCCTGGGATCGAGCCCCACATGGGGCTCCTGGTTCAGCCGGGAGTCTGCTTCTCCCTCTCCCTCTGCCTCTCCCACGGCTCATGCTCTCTCTCTCTCTCTCTGTATCTCTGTGTCTCAGATGAATAAATAAAATCTTTGAAAAAAAATAAAAAATAAAAATAAAATCTTTAAGGAAAAAAAAAAAACCTAAAGGGAGGTATGGAAAAAGACAGGAAAGCATTTATGATCCAGGGCAAGAAGTAAATCCCCCAGAAAATGGTAGAGGAATTAAAATAATCCAAAGAATTTGCATCATTTGGACAGTTGTAAACCAGTTTAAAAATCTGCACCTTCATTTGGATTCCAGCGGGGAGGGAAGCTAGCTTGTGCTTGTGATGACAATGTAGTGCCCTCAATTAGCACTCCAAATATCGATATTAAAATTTCACTCACTGACCAGTAATGACCAGTACCCTCCCCATTTCCTTCTCCACCTTACTCTATCATCTACATGAAAAGCTACAGATAAGCAGGCAAATGCCAAGTTGGCTATAAAACACTGTGAGCAACAATTCCTTTTGGATTTTTTAAATTGACGCAATCCCAAGGGCCAGGAGGAGAGAATCAAGCTTCCACTGTGGGGTCAGATCTCATCTTTCACGCAAGAAACCTCAGCGCACCTGCGACCGACAAATTGCCAAGCTTCTCAAGGCCAACTCTGCCCCCCAAGTCGAGCTGGGTCTGAGGAGGTGAGGGAAAAGTTCATGGTCAGGGGAAAGGGCTCAGGGCCGGGTTCCCAGGCCGCAGCGCTCTCCGGGCCCGCGCTACCCCCACCCCCTCACCCTTCTGGGGTGAAAGGAACAAGAGTGAGGGCAGGAGCAAAAGCTCGAGGCAGGGTCCACCCCCACAGGTGAACAGCCAAGGTAAGTTAAGTCCTCAGCGACCCGCGCCTGAAAAGCTGGCTACTCTGGGGCTTCCCAGGCGGGGCCCTCTCCTCCTCCTGACCCCAGCCGTCGGCCGCAGCCCCTCCAGCGCGCCCGGGAGCCCTTCTCGGATCCCTCACCCATGATGAACCGCCTGTCCGCCCTTATCGGTGGTGAGAGACAGGCCCCCGGCCTTGGCAGCGACTCCTATTCGAGCCTCGGCGCCGCCACCTCTGCTCGCCTTGGCCTATGGCTCCGGCTCCCAGGCGGATCCCTTGGAAGTCCGGTCGGTCACCAACTTCCACGTCGGACTCCCGGCGTGGGCGGGAGCGACGGGTCGCGGCGACTATGCGCCAGGAACGGCGACCTGAGCGTCCGCGTCGTCACTTTCGACGAAACTTCCCGGCCCGCTGGGTGGAAGCCAGAGGATAAAAATATTCAAGGACCCCAAATCTCTCTTGCTTCTGTTTTCTTGTACTGAAAGGGTTTCCAAAATAGAGAAATTCGAATTTTCATTTTAAATTCTGACACGCAACAGTGGCGAATCTGCCAACCAAGAATTCGAGTCGGGCCTCGATGCTGTAGCCCAACTGGACGCCGGCTCAGGGTGCAGCGTCGTGGAAGTTGCAGGTCCTAAAGCGCCGTGCGGGGGCGACGCACCTTTCCCTGGGTGCTTTCTCCCACACGGAAATAGAACTACGTAATAATAGGAACAGCCCCGCGCGGCCAATGCTAATCAACCTTACACCTGAGGCCGCTAACTGGAGGTTTTTGGAGTCGCAATAGCCTGTAGGGTCAGCGTTAGAGCCCTTCACCCCTTTCTTCCACCTAACTGACCCCCTTTCTGGGATAGGCAGTACGGAGGAACTGGTTCAGCTCACAAGGACTGAGGACCTGTTCCCTCAAGGGGCGTCGAGAGTATTGCCGGTCTTGACAGGAAATTGTATTGGAAGGAAGGAAGAGATACTTGGAGGATGGGAAGAAGGGATTCTCCTAGACTCTAATCTTTCTAAGGTTGAGCGTGCGTGTCTTAAAAATTCGTAAAGGTACATAGAAAAGTAAACCTATCCCTAGCCCCCAATGCCACAGTTCTTCGTAGAAGTCACCTTTGTAAACTCTTAGGCCTCCTTCCAAATATAATTTTTGCATATTATGTTTTTATTTAGAGATTTTCATCCATTCAACAGAGTTTATGGACTGTTTTGTTTTTTCCTTCAATTTTCAGACCTTTCCAGCTGCCTAAGCATTGAACCAGATTTGCCTGTTGCTCTCGCCTCCCTTCCCCACTTCTAAATCATAAATTCACAGAAATTTTCCTCACAAGGAAAAGTTTGGTTTTATTTGTTTTTTATTTTATTTTATTTATCTATTTATTTATTTATGGAGAGAGTTGAGTGACTCTTTAAACACCTGGACCTTTACGTTGTCCCAGCTGTTGGACTTAAGTGGGCTGAGATTCCACTGACCTTTTTCACCTGTTCTTCACCCACCTGCAGTCCATATCTTCACCAAGATTAGCTGCTGCCATTTGTCATATCTTGACCATTGCCACTTCAAATTTTGTCCATGTCAGATTTATGTTTCCAGTATAATGCACATAGTTGTCTGAAAATACAAATTCCCTTTATGGGAGAACTAAAAGGAAAGATAGCTGTAAAGTTTATATTTGCACCGCATATTCTGAACCAAATAAACAAATGAAACCTATGTGAGGACGCTGTGTAAACTGAAGTGCTATATGCAGATTAAAAAGCATTGTTAATACTATTAGGTGGCATTTCAGCCTTTCATAATGTGTATTAAGCACCTAATTACAAGTCACTATGGAAACAGTGTAATAAAAACTCTTTAGGTGATTTGATCAAAAACTTTATTTTTCTTTAAAGATGTATATTCATGGGGGGCAGGGAGCAGAGGAAGAGAGTCCTCACACTCGCTAAGGGCAGGGCTGGATGTCAGGGCCCATGAGATCATGACCTGAGCCAAACGGAGTTAGACGCTTAACGACTGAGCCATCCAGGTGCCCTGAAACACTTTATTTTTAAATTTTACCCATTTAACTCTTTGCTTTGTCTGTTAAGATTTGATCTCATTTCCTGGTTGCATCAAAAATTCTTCTCCATTCAGAAACCTTTGATCTAAAGAAAAATCCCCAAATATTAAGATATTACCTTTAAATTTTTTTTCTAATGTAGATTTAGGACAACTAAAATAACTTTCCTGACCACTTACTATGTTCAAGGCCTTATGCTATGCCTATTAAATTGTCTAAAACCCTACTCTCAAGGGTGCACTCATTAACCCAAGGGTGTTTAAGACAGAAAATTTAAATTGTTTCGGGGCGCCTGGGTGGCTCAGTTGGTTAAGCGACTGCCTTCGGCTCAGGTCATGATCCTGGAGTCCAGGGATCGAGTCCCGCATCGGGCTCCCTGCTCAGTGGGAAGCCTGCTTCTCCCTCTGACCCTCCCCCCTCTCATGTGCTCTCTCTCTCTCATTCTCTCTGTCTCAAATAAATAAATAAAATCTTAAAAAAAAAAAGAATTTAAATTGTTTCATAAAATGCTGAGACATAAAAGCAAAGCCATAAACTGCTTAGAGAAACTTAGTTAATCTTTATTGGTGATAACATCGCACCTCTACTTTCTCCTCCCTTCTCTCAATCTCAATTCCTAAGACTAGAGCAGTTCCTACTTTAATGGGAACATAGTTTTCAATGTGTAAAGGAAAATTTAAGGTTGTGAAAAGTAAGATAACAAAAATTCCACTTCCTGTATCTTTTCTGGTACTAAAGACAGTCATTACCTAGGAAAGATACTTATCTTTAGGGCAATATCATTTTTCAAAATGTAGTCATTCTTATTAATATTGGCCTGGTATTACAGTTCCTGCTTATTAAAAAGAAATACTTGGGGAAACAGAATTATAGTGGCAGGCTAGAATTAAAACTAAATATTTAGATTGTAAGTCTGTGAAATTTTATTATTCAGACAAGCACATAGAATTGACCTCACCTTTCAAGTCTTTGCTCAAATGTCATTCTATTTAAAGTTGCAACCTACCCAACATCCTCCTTGTCCTGTTTTTTTTTAGAACTTGCCACTAAACATAATGTGTTTATTTACTATACCTATTATATATTATCTGTGAATGGCAATATTTTTGTGGGTTTTTTTCACTGTTTTGTTCTTGTACTTGGGCACTAAAATATTTGTTGAGAGAATTTGTTGAATTATAAAATAAGTTGTTAAGGCGAATGCTATAAGCGTTAGTTAACTTAAACATATATTGTGCAATATAATTAAACGTGTTTCCTAAAATAGATACATCCGAACCACCTGTCATAGTTTGATAGAGGCAGAACTATCGTTTTCGAGGAGGTTGTCTTATTTGAGGAGAGGCCACCAGGTGGTGGTATTGCTTCAAACTAATTCTCCATAGACTGAGATCAATTGGTCCAATTAAAAGCTGAGTGGATAATTTAATCCTTTTCAAATCTCATGGTCCAATAATAATTTACTAAATTTTAAAATGTGAATGTTTTAATGCAGTCCAAGCAAGTAAAAGAAGTTCAAAAGTCCTTTGACTATAAAGTCACAATAAGATCAAATAAGTTCAGAATTTTAAAGCTAAAAGGAACCTCAATTCCTGCCACCTCAATTATAGATGAAGTAGAAACAAGCTAAGAAACAGAGCCAGGACAGCAACCCTGATCATTTAACTTCCAGACCTGGAGTAACTAGGTTATGATGCTTTCTGTAACTGAGCCATGATCTATACATTTGGTAAATTGATTTTCAAACACATGACCATGACTCAAGAATCTGTAGTTTCCAAAGTTGGAAACTTAACATTTTTGTATGTTTCATTACCTCGTGGAAGTTACATTCTTTTGCTCAGATTATATTCCATGAAGCGGAAACCTATCAAATATAATAAATATAAATATATAATAAATATAAGCTTCAGAAGGGCTCATCATACTATGTATAATTGTAAACTAAGGAGCATTTTGAAATCATAACTAGGCATGTGATTTTCACAAAGCAAGATGTCTATTTATATTTCAAATGTTTCCTTTCAATGACATGTATTTTGCCAACAGAGAAGAAGTTCTCTTTAAAGGTTTTTGTGTGTGGTTTTTTTTTTTTCTTGGAGCGCCTGGGTGGCTTAGCCGGTTAAGCGCCCAACTCTTGATTTCGGCTCAGGTCATGATCTCAGGGTCATGAAATGGAGCCCCATGTTGGGTTCTGTGCTCAGCGGGGAGTCTGCTTGAAGATTCTCTCCTTCACTCCCCCTTGCCCCTCCTGCCCCCACCCCTGTGCTCTCTCAAAATAAATAAATCTTTTTTAAAAAGTAAATAAAAATAAAGGTCTTTTTTTCTTATTGAGTTGTAATTCACATACAATAAAATTCCCAATTTTAAGTGTACAATTAAGTGACTTTTAGTATATTCACAAGGTTTGCAATGATCACCCAAATTTCAGAACATTTTCTTCACCCCAAACAAAAACTCTGTACCCATTAAGCAATAATTCCCCAGCTGATCCCTCCCCTAGTGTCTTGTAACCTCTAATCTATTTTCTATCACTATGAATTTGCCTATTCTAGATATTTCAGATAAGTGGGACCACACAATATTTGTCCAATTTTTGTCTGGCTTATTTTTTTTTTTTTAAAGATTTTATTTATTTATTTATTGGAGAGCGAGCGAGAGAGAAACAGCATGAGAGAGGAGAGGGTCAGAGGGAGAAGCAGGCTCCCCGCTGAGCCGGGAACCCGATGCGGGACTCGATCCCAGGACCCTGGGATCATGACCTGAGCCGAAGGCAGTCACTTAACCAACTGAGCCACCCAGGCGCCCTGTCTGGCTTATTTTACTTAGCATAATGTTTTCAGGATTCATTCATTTACAGCATTTATCAAACACTTCATTCCTTTCTATGGCTGAATAATATTCTATTAAATAGATATACCATGTTTTGTTTATTAATCAGTTGATGGACATTTGGGTTGTCCTCGCTTTTGTCTATTTGAATAATGATGCTATGAACATTTGTGTACAAGTTTTTGTAGGAATAAGTGTTTTCAGTTTTGTGGGGTATATACCTACAAATGGAGTTGCTAAATTATATGGTAACTCTTATGTTTAACTTTTTTTTTCTATGTTTAACTTTTTGAGGAACTACCAAACTGTTTTCCAGCTGCAATGTTTGCTAAAACTATTTCGCACCATTTTACATTTGCACCAACAAAGTTTGAGGGATCTTATTTTTCACATCCTCACCTACACTTATTTTCCATTTTTTAAAATCTGGCCATCACAGTAGGTGTAGAGTGGTATCTCATTGTGGTTTTCATTTTAATAT